AGCTAGCTAGATAAGAACTACTGCTTAAAGGACAATAACAAGAAATCACAAATATATACAGGTTCTGAAGTCTAATAGATTCACTACAAATTACTTTTCTCTGTCACAAAATTTGGATTTGATTATCATTCAAGAGCTCCATCTTCAAGAACTATCCTCTGAAACCCACTTTTAGGCACTGTCCCCAATAGAAGCAAAATGTAAAACATATGATGTTCAAATTATATCAGAAGACAATCAGAGAAAGATAATTATCATATGATCTCATTCATATGTGGAATTTAAGAAACAAAACAGAGGATCATTGGGAAAGAGGAAAAAATAAAACGAGATGAAATCAGAGAGAAGACAAACCATAAGAGACTCTTAATCATAGGAAACAAACTGAGGGTTGCTGGAGGGAAAAGGGGTGGAGGGATGGGGGAACTGGGTGATGGGCTTAAGGAGGTCACTTGATGGAATGAGCATTAGGTGTTATATAAGACTGATGAATCACTGAACTCTACCACTGAAGCCAATAATACATTATATGTTAATCGAATTTAATAAAAGTTTTTTAAAAGAAATCAAAATGTGTTTTAATGCCACAAGTTATGATAAAAATAGATACTGTTCTTAAAACTAGAATGTATGTATTGGTAGTGTACCAATGACAATGTCTTCCACTGTAAGCAATGGAAAGTACCACTCTACTGGCTCAAAACACAAAGAAGTGTCATCATACAAAACTAGAAGTCAAGAAAGTGGGCAGATTTCAAGGCTAACTTAACAAGGAACTCCAGCTTCCTCAGGCCCTTTCCTCTGTTGTTCTGTGTTGGCTTATTCCCAGGCTGGCAGGAAGATGGTTCCATTAGTGGGGAACACCCATCCACACACAATCACCACCAAAGGAAGGAAGAGCATCTCTTCCTATAGTTCTTTCTCCAGAGTGAAAAAACTGTACCCAGTAACCCTCAGAAATTCTCCCAGTATCTCAGGGACCCCACAGAGAAAGTACGTGTTTTTTCTACAACTAATCTCTGTCACCAAGGAAAGGCTTATTTTTTGGCCCAAGTTTGGGTTCCTGAACCAAAAATGAGGTTTTCTGTCACTATTATTTTGCTTCCTCAGTCACACTATAAATGTAGCCTGACATCAAGCTAAACCTGTAAAAAAAAAGGAACCTGAAGCCATCCTGGTTCCTTCTTCCAAATTGCCACTCTACTCCAACCTACCTGGGTCTTTCACTCTCCATAGACTTCAGGTAGTTGTTGTTTGTAGTCTTATGGTTTGAATTATCCCCCCCACCTCCAATTCACATGCTGAAGGTCTAACTTCCAAGACCTCAGAATGTGACCTTATTTGGAAAGAAGGTCTTTGCAGATATAACTAGTTAAGATGTCATACTGGAGTAGAGTGGACCCCCTAATCCAAAGTGACTTGTATCCTTACACAAAGGGGAAATTTAGACACAGACATACACACAGGGACAACACCATATGAAGATGAAGGGAGAGGTCAGGGTGACACTTCCATCAACCCAAGGAATGCCAAAGATTGCCAGCAAACTAGGAGAGAGAGCCTAGAACATATCTCCCTCACATCCCTGAGAGGGAAACAACCCTGCTGATACCTTGACCTCACATCCGTAGCCTTCAAGACTGAAACAGTATAATTCTGCTGCTTAAGTCACCAAATCTGTGGTATTTTAAGGTTATCCTAGCAAACCAACACATGTACTATGCCCAGACTTTATACAGGGAGGTCATTAGGAGCTTACTTCCCCAAACCAGTGGTGAAATGGTCTTACTTGCCTGAAAACAAGTTAACATTTTTCTCTATGTCTCAAGGTTTCTTACCTGCAAAATAGGGGTAAAAATGATATCATAGCATTGTTGGGAAGACAAAATAAGCTGATATGTGTAAAGCATCAGAGAACAGTCCATGGAACATGTTTGCTCCCAGTAGTTATTAGCTATTCTTGTCCTGCACTCATTGGACTATATGCCAGGCACTCTAGGTGCCTCACCAAACAAAACAGATATAAATTTTGGCATTTCTGAAGTTTACATTGTAGTGAGAGGATGCAGACAATAAAACAAATAAGCAAATTATGTAACATGTTGTCCAGTACTAAGATCCACGAACAGAAATGAATCCGAGAAGGAGGAGAGGGAGGGCTAGGGTTGGGGATGGCATTTCTTTATAGGCTGGCCCAGAGAAGCATCATGGAGGAGGCTAGAGATTGAGCTGGTGCACACCAGGCAGACAGAATAGCAAGTGAAAGCGCCCTGTGGTAGGAGTTGGCTTGTAACACTCAACGAGCAAGAAGGCCAATGTGGCTACAGCAGAATGAGGTGGGAGGCAGTGGGAGAAGAGGTGAGAGAAAAACAGGGGACAGGTATATATGTCCTGGAAAGGTTTACACTCGCACTCTGAATGACACGGCAGGTCAGTGGAGGTTTTGAGCATAGGAATGACATGATCTGACATGCGTTTTTATAGGATCACCCTGGCCACTAGGTGAGAGTAGATTTGAGGAAGAAGAGAACAGAGAGACCAAGTTGGGATGCTGTTTCTGGAATCTAGTTAGTGGAGGAGGTAAAACATAATTAGGCTCTAGATGCTTTGACAAGAGAAGTGACCATGTTTTCCTGATGGACTGAATGTGATGTTTGAATGAAAGGGAGGATTTAAGAATGACTCTGAGGTTCAAACCCAAACAATAGGAAGTATGTTTCCATTAAACGAATTAGGAAAGATGTTTGGAATAATGGGTTGAGGATGAAGAGGAGAGAATGAAGTTGTTATTATCATTGTCCTGACTCTTACCTTTAGTGTTTTGCCTTTATTATTAGAATGAATGAAGTAGTTACTGATATTATCCTTCCTCTTCCTATTACTGTTATTGTTGTTGTTAGAATGAATGAATTCTTTACTACAATTGTCCTTCTTCTTCCCATTACTATTATTACCATTATTATTATTGGAGTGAGGGGTAACTTAATCCAACCCTTCCTATTTATTCTCAATCCTGTCTTCTGTGGGACCTTCTTTTTTCCTTACAGGTAACAAGTCACTTGTGGTGAGCACATTCCATCCAGCTCCTCCTTTTTCTTCTCTTTTTTCATAAAATTTTATTTATTTATTTGAGGGAGAGAGCACAAGCAGAGGGAGAAGCAGATTCCCTGAGTGTGGAGCCCAACACAGGGCTTGATCCCAGCACCCCAAGATCATGCCAACTGACGCCCCCTCCACTACCCCTTTTTTAAGATTTCATTTATTCACAACTGCTCCTTTTTCCTGATGTAATCTAGTCCCAAAGGGAAGTCAATGGCTACAGAACATGCCCCCCTCTTGGGAACATAATCTTGACTCATCCCTCGCTGTCATCACACCTTCCTTCTCAATCTCCCAAGGAAACCTTTGCCTTTTCTCCCTTTGAAAATTTCACTGTCCTTTGCTTTTTTTTCTCATTTTAGCCATTTTTCTTCCACTTACTTCAATTTCCATTAATCCTCACACCAATTCTTCCCCACTCTCAGAACTGGGTGTTCTTGCTCATGAATTCTGCTGTGACCCTTCAGCAAATCTGAATAAATCCCCTGACATGTCTTCCTAGCTTTTCCCTTTCCTCTGGCCCTCAATTAAAACTCTTACTACAGGAATTGTTGCTTGGTGTCTCTGGGTGTCAATTTGCTCCTCTGTAAATATAGGAATTAACTAGATTATCTGGAAAGATCCTCAGTTATAACTTTTGAACACATTGATTCAGTGTTTTTCCTGTGTGGAAAATTCTTGCTTCCATCTAACTCATCTTCAGAGCTAAGAGAGTAATCTTTCATTATTCTCTTAGTTTCTGAGGTCCCAATCATATTTTTTTTCATCATTATCTCTTAGGCAAAGCCCAAGCTTTCACTCACACCTTAAGTTGGTCAAAAGAATGTGCTTATTTTTCTAGTTATCTCCTAACATTGCACACAAAATATTTGAGGGACAATGACTCAAGTTTAAAGAAATAAACTTATTTAGACATTTCACAACCATGAGAGATTTCATGATTTTCTTTAAGAAATCTGTGACCTAAAAGTTTTGTTAATGCAAATGACAAGCAGCTAATGGCATCATTTCTGCTTTGATTTTCTGTGACACCCTTTTGAGGTTTTCATCCTCACTTCCTTGCGGGGCCCTCACCTTTGTCTTCCTTTTGCCCTGTAACTGCCAATTTTCATCAGCGATTGAGAAAATAAGAGTGCAAGGAAAAACAATTTAGCTCAGCTGACTGCTTCTTCAAGGAAACACAGTTTGTTCTCCTAGATTTCAGACTAAGTTAATAAAAAAAAAGTTTTAATCCTATAATCAGAGGTCATTTTTAATGCTTTCATTCAGCAAAATTCCAGGTGGTTTTAAAATACACTGGACATCTATTTACTAAGAACAAGAGAGGTTATTCCAAAGCATTCTTTAATGGCCCTAAATTGATTTTGCCTATCAGAGGAAAAAGGAAAATCCACCCAAAAAGGTCTTTCTATAGTAGAGTTTACATAGCTGAGCTTCTTAGGCACTAAAGAAATTCTCTCTCTCTCTTTTTTTCTCTCTCTCTTTCTCTCTCTCTCTCTCACACACACACACACACACACACACACACACATACACACACAATCGTTAGAAATATTCCATTTTTAAGATTAAGTTCTACACAACACAGTATGACCATAAATGGGTTACTTGGATATAATTGTTATCTTTAGTTATTTTTAGTAAGGGAGCTATATTTCATAATATTCCATCCTGGCTTATAAATTTAACTTTGTAAACTTGCAGGAGAAATGTGAGCTGTTTAGCATTCCGTGACAAATTAAAAGCCACCCCCAACTCCCACAGTGAAGATATCTCTGCCTCCTCTGAACTCCTCTGGAGTTCAACTTACCTTGTGTCCTCCTTAGCCCCCATACTTCCTAATCTAGATCCTTTCACATCTATCAATAAACAAGTACGGAAGAAAAAAAGGAGCAGAAAAATAAGCAGGTATTACAGTTTAATAGGAAAAGCACAGGTGCTGAATTAGACGAATCTAGCTTTGTATCTCAGTTCATCTATTTCTTCACCATGTGATCCTGGGCAGTTGACTGAACTCTCTGAACTTTGGTTTTCTCTCTAGGTATCAGAGGTAATGAAACAGCTTCATAGAGTACTGTGAAGGTTAAATTAAAATTGTAAAGCGCCTGGCACATATGAAGCACCCAATACACCTACTTCTCCTTCCTCTATTCTGGCATAGCATTCATAGTTCAGTCCTGCAGTATGGTTGATTGAACCCTGGGCTGTTTCTGGGCTGTGAGCTTTTTGAAGGCAAAGACTTATTCATGTCTATATTTCTTATGGAACCTAGGATAGTGAGCCACATATTCTGGAGGCACAGTAACTGTGTATTGTTTTAAATTGAGGGCTGAAACAGGATAGCTTCTAAGCTGTGCAACAATATCTACAGATTTGGGCTTTCCTAGTAGGACAGCCCCTCTCATGAGCTATGTCTCAGACCACCTGGGTGTTGACACAGTCCATCATGTTTTAAATTAGGTTGCACAAAATATAACTACTTTCCTAAATTCCTTGGCAACTAATCAGAATGCTCTTCCATTTCTCACCATAGAAAGTGCTGCAGAAAAACTGACCTTACTCTAAGAGGGAGAAACACTACATTATGAATCCACTACATAATGCTGGAAAAACCATAAGTTGTGTTGAAAGCACTGAGTCACATAAACGTGAATTTTAAACACTGGCTGGTCCCTGACTAGCCATGAGACCTTGAGCAAGCTGTCTAACCTCAATGAGCCTCAATTAAACCAAAGAAAGGGACAATAACTCTACTGTGGTTGGCACGCAGGGTTGTGGGTAGAAAAGGTGATGCCCAGGAACTGACTTGAATAAGTAGGAAGCAGGATGTCAACACAAAGTCTAGAAAGCCATCACTTTCAAGTCATGGGAGCTTCAGGCTTCTATCCATACTCCTTTCTTTGGCAACTGATCAGCTCTCATTTTATCATTTCAATTCAGCTGAGCAGAAAAGCTGCGCATATGTGTGTATGTGTGTATATCAATATGCAAGTGATCAAATCTATGTATCCCCCCATCTTTTGTTCTGTGTGTCACATTACAATGCAATGAGAAGGTGCAGTCATTAATTCATAATCCCAAAAATGCAGCATCTGTAAAGCCAAGGGCCGGTCTGCCTATAGGCAGGAGGAACTGCACACATTGCTTTTCTGTCCAATGCGAGAACACTGCACAGTCCAATTGCTTGTGGCTTTTTCTCGTGGGTCAGTCAGTCACAGCTTCCACTGCAAAATATTTCAAAGAAAAATACACCCCAACCAAAGCATAATAGAAAGCCAGCTCCAAACTCAAGGGGATGGGCTGTGGGAAAAGCCAAGTTCTGGTGGAATCATTGTCTCTAGGTCATTCTACTAATATCACCTAAGCAAATCGGGTTCCTAAAGAAATTGGGAGGGTAAGGAGGCAGACATGCCACCTACACACTGCATACGGAAGAACGAACCTTCCCAAATTTCTGAAAAAAGTCTTCTTCTGCCCGGGCCAGTGCGTCTTCATCAATGTACACAGCTGGCCTTTTGGCCATGAGGAAGTACTGCACCTTCCTCAGATTCCAGCCCATCACGTACTGGAGCCAGCCACAGACGGCCGCGGTGGACCTGCCGACCCCGGCGTTGCAGTGAACGTACACGGTGTGTCCATTCTCGAGCAGCGCGTGCAGGAGACAGACGGCTTGGGGCAGCATCTGTACTCGGCCTGGGATTGAGAAAGCACAGCACATACACATGAATAATGACACCCCAATATCACCACTAATAATAACTCTTCCGGTGCCTGGTGAAATTGGTGCCGTGCAGGGAGAGGCAGGGATATTGAGCTTGCTCCATCTCCTTGGTTCAATGGAAAAGGTGAGCCAATATCAAAGCCTGCAAGAATAAAGTAGAAAGAGCACTCCAGAGGCAATGGGTCAGCTTTGAGCCTTCCTTTGCTTTTGCTTTGAGTGACTCCTGCATCAGCGCAAATCTCCTTTCAAAGGAAAATTAACCATTGCCTATGGTCGGAAGAATGGATTCTTACATCCATCAGAAAGGTTTGCACAGATTGAGCAGAGATTTAGAGGATTTCACCCGGACTTTCTTAAATCCAAACAGATCTTCCAGATCAATGCAAAACACACAATTAGTTCACACTGGTGAAAGGAGTCAATCTTATTTACTCAATGTATGCCAATTTTCATTTGGCCAATGGGATGGCAAACATTAAGTGACACACATGCAACAACCAATCACACGTTCATTCCCTCACAATAGACTGAGTATTGGAATGATTCCATTTCTTCTTTTCTGGGCAATTGTGATTATAGTTATTTTTTTAAGATTTTATGTATTTATTTGACAGAGAGAGAGCACAAGTAGGCAGAGCAACAGGCAGAGTGAAAGGGACAAGCAAGCTCTCTGCTGAGCAGGGAGCCTGATACTGGACTCTATCCCTAGACCCTGAGATCATGACCTGAGCCAAAGGGCAGATGTTTAACTGACTGAGACACTTATGGGCCCTGTGATGATAGTTGCTCTTACTTCATGACTACTATTTTGATTATTAGGTGATCAAATGTCTTCTCCTTTCCACACACTCAACGCTCTGCTCCGGCCTGCCAGACTCTCTTGTCTCGTGAGGCAGAGATTCCCCCCAAGGTCATCAAACTCTTAGATGCCTGGGATTTCTTCTGCACACAGGTTCTCAGAGCAAAGACAGTGGATTTTGGTGGGGAGTATGGACAATGGTCAATATAAATTACTTCAAAAGGAGATGAAAGAAGAAAACTGTACAGAGTCCTGGATATGTGCCGGTGACTTTGTGACATTCACTAGTTACTCTGTTCTTAATCCCAAAGGGGCACAATGGCACTTCACATTGCCATCCCACTGGATGATGGGAAAGGTGGGAAAAAAACCCTCAAATGATTTCACTGCAGATCCTAAGGCCTAGAATTCTATGGTGGGATGGAACCTGGAAGTTATGAGAACTATTCAAGTAAGTTTAGATTCCTCTCTTTGGATATCCTCTTTTAAATCCCCTAATGGGCCAACACAACATACAGCAATCAGGCATAGCACTTTAGAAGGATGGATGTTGCAAGACCTCATCATGGTCTGAAGGCCCATCCTTCAGTTACCACTCCATCCAGGATGGGTCTCTTAGCTGCAGGCTCAGCCTGCTATGAGTTAGTAGTAGAAAACCTACATGGAAGCCAAGATAATATTCTAATTTTGCTACCAGTGCTCTATTTATCTGTCTTCCCAAGGGACCTAATGCTACAGGTCCCATGCAGCAGTACAGAGACATTTTTAACTGGGATGCCTCTAGTCAGAGCACACCTCACAATTCCTCAGGCTCCATCTCTCCCTACTGCCTGTCGCCCTATGTTCACTGGTCTCTGAGCATATCTAAAGGGAGACATGCCAGCTCCTCTGTGCCACATGATTTCGCAGAGTCCAAACTCAGCCATAAACTATAACTGACTTGCACTTCCTTCCAGGTTGCAGGGACACTCTTGAGGTTAGAGCTAGATGGACATGCCACACAGTCAGTTGCTCCTGGCACTCCTCTAGAGGCAGTAAAATGTCACCAGTGATGGAATAAAGTGTAAAGGCCCTATGTACCAGAGAGACATCTCACTATGTGTCTCAAGGAGCATACTGTATAGTTGATGCCACCATTTGAGCTGGGAGATTGGAGGAAGCAAACTTCCAAAGTATGTTTGAGCAACCCTACCAGTAAGGGTGAGGCCTACCCATTTACAAGGCTTTTGCTCTGCTGAAGGGGTGTTAGAGGTATAGTTCCCATAACATTGGCTGGAAAGGGAATGACCACTGATCAAACTGGGAACTGGTTCTTCCCGCCATGGCCCACATCACTGAACAAGCTCCCTGTTACAGTTGCCTCTCCAACTACCATATACATCTCCAGGGGGGGAGCAGGGAAAAAATTCATTGAAATATAGTTGACATCCAGTGTTAGTTTCAGGTGTACTACATAGGGACTAGATAATTCTATACTGTATGCCATGCTCAGCACAGTAAGTGTAATCACCATCCATCACCATATAACGTTATTACAAGATTATTGACTCTATTCCCAATGCTGTACTTTCCATCCCTGAGAAGTATTTTTAACATGGGTTTTCATTAAATGCCCAGCATACAAATAGACCACAGAGGCCATATGCATTAGGAGCTTCTAGAATCAGAGTCCCAGCCCCTGGTGTTCAGCGGCATCAGTGTCACCGACTTGCCCAAACCAGGGTTCACATGGACCCATTGGGATCCCTTCCCCCACCTGCCCTCTGGCCAGAGATTCCATGAGGAAGGGTCTCCATCAAATAGCCCAAATGATGCAGTATCTCTCCCTTTCCTTATCTGAAAAAGATTCTTTAAGAGGCATGTACATGGTTTAGAAGTTGAAAAGGGATGTGTGTGAGCTTGGAATTCTATGACCTCATACATGCAATCCTAGAAGGTAAATGACAGCTGCCACCAGGAAGCTCCAGAAAGCTCCCAGCTTAAACATAGGTTTCACCTCACAGTGGTCTTCTCCTAGAATCACTTAGCCACCCCCACTTAAGAACCATCAAACAGGGATCCCTGGGTGGCGCAGCGGTTTGGCGCCTGCCTTTGGCCCAGGGCGCGATCCTGGAGACCCAGGATCGAATCCCGCATCGGGCTCCCAGTGCATGGGGCCTGCTTCTCCCTCTGCCTGTGTCTCTGCTTCTCTCTCTCTCATTCTGTGTGACTATCATAAATAAATAAAAAAATTAAAAAAAGAACCATCAAACAAATATTTAAATAACATAAAGAATAAATAAATAATAGAAAAGAGCATCAGACAAAAAGACATGGTCCAGGATGCCTACCTGTTTCAGCCTGGCCTCAACTAGAGCTCTTGCTTATTTTGACTTCTAGGGACTATACATCACTCAGCTTTGATTGATGACATCCAATAATTACTGAGTCCTTTCTACCCACCAAGTGCTGTTCTAAGCACTGTACATGCAATGGTTCATTTGTAATCACCTTTTAACAACTATAAGGTCAATACTATTATTATCCTCAGTTTATTTCTAAGGGAACTGAGGCAAGGAGATTTGCCCAAGGTTATTCCCCAGTGGCCATTCAAACCCAGCCAGCACGACTCCAAAGCCTCTGGTCTTAACCACTGTACTATTGCCCTTTTCTATCCTGCATGCTGGCCCCATTCTGTCAATCTGAATTCTTCATCAATCTCCACCACACACACCCCCAACCTAGTCACACTGTTGCTCTTAACCCAGGTGAGAGCAACATCTTCCTTGTGAGTTAGCCTCTGCCCTACTCTACAGGGGGCTCTCTCTGTGCCCAATGGGCCTTGTACCTCTGCTAGAAAACCCATTCTAGGGATCATGAGTTAGCTAATACATAACCCACCAAGGAATAAAAAATAGGGTGCCCAGAATCAGAGCTGGCACAATAAAGCCAGTGTCAACAAGAGCCTCTGATTTTTTATGTTCCATGTATTTAGGCTCCATAGATAATTTAATTAGATAAAAAGTTTCCATTCATAAAAATCATAATACCTAAAGGCAAGACAGAAATTCAGAATTTTTATATAAAATAGTCCAAATTTTAACTGTTGGCAACTAAATAGAAAACTTTAAACCCTGTGCAAGTCTAACAGAACATTTTCAGTGTCTGTGATCCTTACTTTGGAATTTAAAACAGGCCTTGGCTCTCAGTAGATGCTCATTATTAAGCTTAATAATTAAGCATTATTAAGTGCATGAATGAAAAATAAAATGAAACAAAATCCAGTAATACTGATTAGATCTGAGACACTACTAGACCCCTCTAATCTAACTTGCAGCCCACACTTCCTCTAGGCTAACCCAACTCTGGAATGATCAAAAGCTTCTGGAAAGCATGCATTGAGCAAACAAAGGTTGTAAGAAGGGGGGAGAAGGACATGTTAGGGCAGCCTGTGGCATTAGAACCTGAAATCAGGGAGAGGAGTGACAAGATGCCCTGTACCTAAGGTTGACCTTGAAAGAAATTATTTCTGGACCAAATTTTCAGCCTTTCCAACATACACACACACACACACACACACACACACACACACGCCCTTCCTTTTTTACTCTAGGCAGGTTCATGGCTGAATATATTATTATTTTATTTGAGTGTATCTCCTTTTCCAACTTTGCAATGTAATACAGATAAGGCTCATATTATCTAGCAGGTCCTTCAGTAGAAACTTAAGAACGTAGGACCAAAAATAAAGCCCCGACTTTGTAATTTTCAAAGCCCTTACATATCAATCATCTTACTCTATTGTGATCCTGTAAGGCAGAAATGACTACCCCATACTCCAAATGCAGGAACTAACCTGCTCAATATCACATATCTATGTGGTGGCAGCGAGGCTCAAGCCCAGGTGCCTGGAAGGTCAGCGTCCACATCACAGCAGAGCTGCACGCAGCTTGTTGAATCAGAGAGAACTCAGAGTGTAATGACACAGGGGTAGCCAAGGACTCTGGGAAGCATATGCCCTCACTTGGGAGGCTAGGACAGACCATTTGTTATCACCAGCAGTGCCCTGACAGAGGTCAAAACACAATCTGAGTACTTCCTATGAAGGAAAACTGAATTTTAATGAACAGATCTGTTTTTTTTTGGGGGGGGGGTTTGTTTTTTGTTTTTTTTTTTTCAGGTAAGGGCTAGATTTGGGAGCTTTGCATGTCTCAGGTGAAAAATACAAACCAAAAATTTTTTTAAAAAAAAAAGGAAAGAAAATAACCTAATTCCTCTGCATATGACAAAGTGTACAAGAGTAAGGGATCGATAGTACAATTGATTGTAACAGGTCTGTGACAACTAGTGGTGACAGTCAGGCCTAACAAACTGTCTTCTTTCTCAGACTTTATCTGACAGCATTATGCTACAGCTCAAAACATTTCCAGATGGATTTTTCTCTAGAGTTCCAAAAATAGTCAGCTGAATTAATCTATATGCTCATTGTGCTAATATTCTCAGCCACACAGATTAATCTACTGGTCAAAACTTCCCCTGCAACTCAGGAATGGTCATTAACCCTTTGTTGACTCCCCTGGTCATGCAGAACCAGAGAGCTTTCATTTAGTCTTAGAGTTTGGTCTTTTCTCTTTTTTTAATATCTTATTTATTTGTTTGCTTGTTTGAGAGAGAGAGAGAGAGAGAGCATGCATGCACATAAGTAGGGAGAGGGAAAAGCAGACTCCCCCACCCTGAGCAGACAGCCTGACTTGGGGCTCAATCCCAAGACTCTGGGATCATGACCTGAGCTGAAGGCAGACACTTAACTGACCAAGCCATCAGGGTGCCCCAGAGTTTGGCCTTTTTTAGTGGGAGCTTTCATTCTGCTGTTAGGTATGCTCCCAAACTGCCTCAGTGTGGAAGGTGCCCCGCTGCTGTGGCTGGCTGAGATGGGACCTGGTGACCCTGTGACCCCAAAAAGATATTACCACAACTACACCATGCCTTTGGGGATAGAGTTTTCCTTCAGGCTTCTGCATACCCCAAACTATGGAGCAAATATCTATTGGTCATGGAGTCCTCGGGCAGTCAGTAGAAAGCTGGAATGGGATGCATGCCACAGTTAGCAGTTCAGTTACTTTAAGCTTCATCTCACATTTTACTCCATCAGGCAACATGCTATAAAATCAGAAGTAAAGAAGCAAAAATAAGAATGCCCTCTGGAAGCTACAGGCACGTGATCCTAACAATCTTCTCTGTTTTGAAACCAGAGAAATAAAGTGCTTTCATATCAATCATCTTACTCTATTGTTATGATCCTGTTATGCAGAAATTATTACCCCATTTTCCAAATGCAGTAACTAGCCTGCTTGATGTCACACAGCCACTCGGGAGCTCCCATTCTGCTGTCAGGGGTGCTGCCAAACTGTCTCAGTATGGAAGGTGCTCCATTGTATGGCTACAATGGGACCTGGTGACTGTGTGACCCCAAAAAGATTTTAGCACAACTACAGTGGGCCTAGATTCAACCAATGATCTTCCATGCAAGTAAAGTTATCTTTTTTCCTTGAAAACAAGCAGAGCTAAATCAAGTTTCTTTGGATCAGCACTATCAAGGGGAGTAAACAAACTATCTCTTCCTCAGAAACAAAATTTGTATCTCCTCCCCAGTGATGATTCAGTCCAGCTTGAGAACCACCTAAGATTCGTAAAAGGCCAAAGTGGTCAACACGCAGGCTCCCTAGGATCCTTGAGGTCTTCTGTCTCCACCCACATCTTGGACTGTTGACTCTGGAGAGACAAGCTACCACCCTAGCAACTCATGACTCTATCTCTAGGTGATCATGACTAGAAGGGATTAAAGTGGCCTGTAGAATATTCATGAAGAGCCCATATGAGCATGCAAGGAGAGGTGTCATAGCACAGTGTCTGTAGTAATGTTCTGAGTCTGACTGCCTGTGTTGAAATCCAGGCTGTGACTCTTTCCTATGACCTTGACCACATTACTTCACATTTTTGTACCTATCCCTTCCTCTGCAAAATGGAGAGAACTACATCTGCCTGGAGTCTTGCTGTCAGAATTAAATAAATTAAGGCATGGAATTTCTTAGCAGTGTCTGATATATTTTGTACTTTGAGGAGAAGAGAACTGATGGTAGAGATGTTTCCTGATGGGCAGGCACCATTGCCTTCCTTCCTTCCCCCAGGACTGTAGTTCACCAAATTCCCTTAGCCTGTGCCATTCCCACAGCTCTCTGCTGCCCCCTGCTGACCCTGGTTGATACTAGTAGCTGTAACTCCGTTCTCTCACCTTCAGATATCTCCTCCAATCCTTTCGCACAAGCACCCTCCTCTACCACCAAGCTGAAACAGAGCATTCCTGTAAACCCCATGCCTTGGGACTTTAAGATGGTATTTCTTCCATCTGGCAAACCCTTCCGCCTTCCCTACTGACCTGTCAAAACCATGCCCACCTCAAATGCCATGACATGGATACAGCCTCCTTGTGCTTCCTCCCCCTACCCTATAACCCACCAGGAGCACGAGACTTCTTCATCACATCACATTGTTCTCTATACTGTAATTAGTTTGGAATGTGTCTTTCTGCCTCTTGCCATCAGATCAAAATGACGCCTTATTTGTCTCTCATTTCCCCAGCAGCACGCATAACTCCTCTTCACAAAGACATGATCAGCCAGTACTTGTGCTATAACTACAATCTTGCCATTGCTACCTTGTCCCCTGCTGTGTCACCTCTTGTTAGCTCTCACTTAAACTGTCACCCCCTAACTGGTGTCCCCAGATCCACTCTGAGCCCACTTTCCATCCACTGCCTTCAGTGCCAACTGCACTTCTGAAGGAGGAAAAGAAGGTTATCTTGGCATATCCCAGCCTCCCCTCCTTTCCATTGCTTCTTACTACTTTTAAGGTAGAGTCTAAAATCCCTACTGTGGTCCAAATGTGCAGGTCATTCCCTGACCTACACCTACACTGCCCTTCTTTGAGGTCCTGTAACACTCTACGTTCTCCTGCAGTGGAGACTACCCAAGCTGGGAGCACCCTTACTGGGATCCTTCATCCCACTTCACCCCCAACCCTTCAGATGTAGCTCAAACATACCCAAGAAAAACTTCCTTGACGCTCTTCCTACTTCTGATTTGCCTGTGCATGCCTTCATAGCAGTACCTTTCTAACAAAAATTTCATCACAGTTAAAAATTTCTATTTGTAGGCATTTGATTAATGCATGTCTTCCTTTAGGACTATAAGCTCCATGGGGACATGAGCTGTGCTTGCTTTTCCTCACCACTGTATTCCTAGCTGCCAACATAATGCCACACATATATTAAAACACAATAAATACATGTTTAGTAAACAAATCATGTTAAACAGAATCTTAGCCAAGGTGTCAAGATGGGTTAAATATATTAAGCCTAAAGCCTTATTGATTCCGTTTCTATCATTCATATTTAAGTCATTCAGTTATAAACAGAAAGGTGGTAGGTAGGTAGGTAAGTAGGTAGGTAGGTAGGTAGGTAGGTTGGTAGGTAGATAGGCAGAAGAACAGACAGCAAGGACTTCTCTGAAACACATTCAAGGGGATCCCTGGGTGGCGCAGTGGTTTGGCGCCTGCCTTTGGCCCAGGGCGCGATCCTGGAGACCCGGGATCGAATCCCACGTCGGGCTCCCGGTGCATGGAGCCTGCTTCTCGCTCTGCCTGTGTCTCTGCCTCTCTCTCTCTCTGTATGACTATCATAAACAAAAAAAAAAAAATAGAAAAAAGAAAACTATTTGAAACACATTCAACAAGAAGCCAGAAAGGTTCTTTTGGTGCTTACCTTCAGTGCTCATATCTGGTGTCGGCATCCAGATGTAGACCAAGCCTTCTTCCTTGTACAGTTTAATCATGGTGTCTGGAGTCATAGGTTCTGGGTAGCGGTTACAGCCTGAGGAATTCTGTACAATATCCCATTCAGTCTGGAAATTCATTACAGCTGTGATTCCCAATTCATGCTTCAGTTTGATGGTTATATGTTCCACTTGACGAGGACAGCTACCCAGCCAGATATTTGGTAAAATTCTAATGAGAATAGATAGAAGCAACAATTATTATTGTTATTGTTATGATGTGAGATCCGAGGAGCTTCAGAAAACATGTAGTAATAAAACGCAATTAACCTTTAAGTCTGGCACAGGAAAAGCTGCATTAACAATATTAGATGATACAACAATATTATTGATATAATAACAATGTTATTGAAAGAAAAAATACCGGTGGTGTCATTTTTAGGGAAACAATCCAGTTAACTAAAATACTAGGAAATAAGCATTAGCAAGCCAAATCTAGCAACATATTAAAATAAACCCACTATTTATTTATTCCTTGAATGTATATATGGTTTAACATTAGGAAACTCATCAAGATATTTCAAATACTAATAAGTTAAAGGCAAAACTCTAATGATTATATCAGTAAATCCTAGAAAACATTTGCAAAAATCAGCCATTATTCCTGCTCAAAACTCTACATAAAAATTTCAAATAGTAGGAGAACTTTTAAACACCAGAAACTAAAAAACAACAATCTACAAGCTAAGAAGAAATATAATTATCTGGTGGGGTGGGGGGACAAAGACGACGTTGTCATTAATTTTTCAAATGTGTTCCTATATCTAATATCTCAAAGACTGGACCTCATCCTCAAAGTTTCTGAGTCAGTAGATCTGGGTCAAGAGTCCAAGAATTTGGACTTCTAACAAGTTCCCAGGCAATACTGATGCTACTAGTTCAGGGCAAAACCACTCCCTAAAGGATTCAATTACAAAAGCTATGCCAAGTATTAAAAGTATTAAGATATATAGATGAGGGGAAATGTACAGAAATCAAACAGCTTTTCTCTGTACTAGCAATAGCCAGATATAAATGGAGAGGTAGAAGTGAATCTCGTTCAAAAATAAAAACAAAATTATAAAATGCCTAGGAATACATTTAACCAGAAAGATTTATGAAATTTTATTGGACATTAAGAAAAAAAACAAGAGATAAACAGGCATACCGTTCACTAGGTTCAATATAAAGCATTCAGATAACAGTTCATAAGTGATGATGGCAGACATCATTTGATGCTCACCAGTGTTCCCAGTTACCCTCCTTCAAGCATGGAGGACTAAACTAATTCTCTGCCTAAAAGTCAGCCCTCTCATTTATTTTTGTTCATAAAAAGTAAGCTGAAGTAACATGTGTCCCTTCTGGAGGGACATATTTAGGACCCCATAGACAATGCTTCATGCTCTCTGTCTTGCCCTGCTACAATGATCATGGAAACACATGTGGACATTGAGCCACTAAAAGACTAAAGTAGTTAAGAATGGTAAGCTACCCCAGGAGGCCAGCTGCCCTGGAAAACCAGTGGCTCATTGTATGTTCCCACTGTGTGTTCCCACAGCATAACCTGACTTGTTCTAATACAATGCCTAGAAAATTAATTCTTCAAAGTCCCTAATACACAGGAAAGAAGTTGAGCAGAGAGATTACACTTTTATTCAGTTACTTTCATATTGAGCTTAAAAGAAACTTCTCAGTTGGAGACAATTTTGTTTCCCAAGGGATATCTGGCAATGATTATGGAGACATTGAAGATGATGACAGTGGCTGGTGCTAATGGTACCTCAGAGATTGAGATCGGGGATGCTGCTAAGCATCCTGCACAGGACAGCTTCCACAACAAAGAATTATCAAGTCCAAAATGCTAATAATTTTGGACTTGATAATAATAATTTTAAACCAAGGCTTTGATCAAGAAGCCTTGGTTTAGGGGAATAAAAGTGGAATAGAACTCCTTACAATATGGAGGAAGAAAGGGAATATCGGGCAGGAATAAGACCAACATATCTGACACAGTTTGTGATTCATCAGGTATATCATTCTGATGATAAAATGACATTCCATATCATATTTTAAAATGTATATGTATACACATAAGAGAGAGAGGTAGAGAGTGAAGCAAAAGTCTAATATTACATAATCAAACAGTACGACAACATTTTAAGTGTGCTGTAACGGGAAGGGCATTAAAAATAATTCAGAAAAAAAAAGCCATTCACAGCATGATAATTTTAAAAGCATTTGGTAATAACTGTGTGACATTAGGCCAAGTTATTTATCATCTCTAAGCCTTTGGTGGGCTCATCTCTAAAGTGGGTCTAAAAATAACTAATTTGTGAGAAGTAAAGACAATTAAATAAGGTATTTGAATAGGACCAATACTAGTGGATGTATAATAAATGCAAGTGCCATTTATGTCTCATTGTTATAATTTTCTTATTTTAGTAATTGATATTGTATTGTAATGACTATTCAGATAATTTTCCATTGTTCTGTGTATCCTTCATTTGAATGCTGCAGAGTTTAGAATACTCACCCTATTTTCTTAAATGCAATCTAGCTTGTTTTTGTGTTTTAGTTCTTTTTGTTCCTTTTGGCTGTTGTTGTTATCATTGTTAACACTAAGGTAGGAAGCCAAGTGACTAACCCTCAAATAGGGCTATTACTCATCCTCAAGGAAAATATCTCTCAAGATCTAGCATCTCCTAAAACTCGAATCCTACTTACTCTCCAGGAGAAGATAAATTAACTTTTTATTGCTGCTTGGGCTCTAACAGGTTATTAGGCATTTCTTATGGGTTACTGAAGATGATTATGGAAAAAATAAAGACAATAAAATTTAAAATAAAGAAAAAATTTAGAAACACAAAAAAGACTTAATAGTATTGTGAAGAGAAGCATGGGATCCAAAAGCCTTTCACTTCATTCTTGACCCTAAAGAATTCTCAAATATCCCATTAGGCCAGTAGGCTAGCAGAAAAATCGTTAGTGGGGACACTTTTAGAGTGCTCAAGAGATGTGCTTGACCAGGACATTGTCAGCTGAGTATTCAGTCTTCACAGGATTAGAAATGACACACACCCTGGGTCACTGGCCCTTCCCTCTGGCTGTTGAGTGAGAGCAGGAACCACCTCTATCTAAATGTTCCATCCCTCCTTTCACTGTACATTAAAGATTTCTCCTCCAGTTACCTGCTGATGTCTTAGTGTGCGGCAGTGGTGAGCTGTCATACTATATTGTATGGTTTAACTGAACATACTAAAGGGTCTAAGCTGGAAAAGAGGGAAGTAGACACCCCAGTTATATAACCAAGAAATATAACCTTTTGGACAACAATGGATTTTTATTGGTAAAATTGTGAAGTGGACTGGTAAAATATTAAAATGAATATTCATGACAGGCAAGCTAAATTCCAAACATTACCCAGAGTTCTCCTGAATATTGCACTCTTTGGGTGGGTAGCACTTAGTACATGGCTGGAGAAGAAATGCCAAAATAAGTGGCTGGCATGCAAGATGTGCATAAAGACAAAATAATAGTTCATAGAGATATACAAAGAGCAAATCATGCAAAATAACAAATCAGAATCCCAAACCAGAGTCAGTATATAGAATCACACTGTGTTCCTGGAGAAAAAAAAAAAATGGTGTTACTCTACCATCTCATTCAGCCCTGGTCTTCAAGTGTATTTCAACTAATGGCGACTTTAAGAAACTCAGAACAAGTCAAAGGTAAACAAGCCCAAAGTTGATACCGTATATTTTCCACACCAAGATTCTAATGGACATAAGCCCTTGATATACACACTCATGCATTCCCACATACATATAAACACATATAAACACTAGCTTCTGAATCAGATATTTCTAACCTTTTGATAATTAATTTTTCCTCTAGAAGTGCCAGAAATCAAAGTTCATATTTAAGAAATGAGTATAAATTCTTAAATTCCTGATTTTCTAAAGCAAGATATGCTGAACCTAGGAAATAGATCACTAAAGATAAATTCTGAAAACAAGTGCTGTGTTGTAGAACAGAGAATTAAAGTTATAAAGTAAATGGTACTGAACCGTTATATGAGATGTGAAACCAAAGGATTGAGTTTGTTGGAAACACTCAAATCAATGGATCTTGCCTCCTCAGACAGCTAAAGTGCCCTTTATATGCATCCTATTTCAGCTTGTTGTCTCTAATAATAGGTGATATATTTCTAGTTACATGATACATTGGAGGTAATAAGATGCATGATGTACTTTCTAAACAATAATTAGACTTTTACTTACCCACTCAAAAGAGAATGATTTGACACCATTAAAAATCAATTTTTATTCATCTCATCTTACTTTTAATCTTTTCAGCACCAGTGATACTTTAAACAATGTTAAAAATCAGTTGTTTTTAAGGAAAAAAGAAGCTTGTTGAAATATGGGATTTAGGAAATAAAAATTCTCTGTAAAGGTAGTTTCAATGCAAGACACACCAAATTTTGAAGATCTAATAATGAAATAAAAAAATATATGGCTCACAATTATATTATAAATTATACTGTAAAACTTCCAAAGAATTACTTTATGAATAGCTCACTATTGATCATGAGTTATATCGGATTTCTGGCAGCTCAACTATAGATTATTTGGAAAGGTCAGGGGAATCCACAGTACCAAATGGGTATTGACACTCCATCAACCCAAAAGTTCCCAAATCTGACTTTGCATTCAAGCCACATAAGTTTTTATAAAAACTTGTATTAACAACATCTTGTCCGGAGATGGTCATTAAGTGGCTATGGAGTGAGGCCTATGATTCTGTGGATTTTTTTTTCAAGAAATTAACCAGGTTATGTATATTACATTTGCAGCCAGATTCCAAAGCCACTAGCCTAACAGATCCCAATAAACATGTAGAAGTTTAGTATAGTGATCTCAATGCCTTTTAACAGCAGCAAAATAAATATGGCAATGAGAGGGCATGGGTTGCTCAGCCCTACACACGCACAAGAGTTAAGTCCTTGTCTTTTTCCAAAAATACTTTCAAGACTGAAAATGATTCCCAGAGAATGGGGAATGGGAAACTATCTATTAGGAGATAGTACCTACAAGGATGTGTGCCTATGTGTTTAATGGGTAGTATCTTCTAAAGAGCCAAAACCAAATCTACTTCTGAGTCATGACAAATATTTAATATAGCAATATTCAT